TAAGAAATTAAAATTTATGTCAAAGTCATGAAAACCCTAAGTTGCAGCTTTAAATCCCAAAACAAAAGTTAACCAATGAATAAATAACACAAAATTCAAATAGCATACAATCATAGAACAAATTTACAACCGTGTGATTTTAATTAAAGATTTTGTTTAAAAAGTCAAATGATACAAATCCATGCCTACATAAATTTAGAAATCAATCTAAGCATAAATGTTATTTGATTTAGATTCAAATATTACCTGGAGGAGCATTAGACCTTTCCATGGTAAAGGATAGTTGCTTGTGAAAGGAAATAATCATCAAGCACATGGACATGAGAGAGGTTGTAAGGGCTTTATCTTTTTTGTGGTCCTACCTGACTTGAACTGAAGTAATCGAATAATCAATAATTTAAAAAAAAAAAAAATGAAAGAGAAGAGCACTTCTCTCTTCGTTTGGTAAGAATTGCAAAAGGTGTAACTATGTATGTATAATACCAATGAGACTCTTATACTACTTGACAAGATTAGAGACTAATGATCTCTAGCTTACGAGCCCATATTGTTGTCTAACTCATTATAGATCACACAAATAAGACTCACATAAAAATATTCACAACTAATGATCATAAATAATGTTTAATAATGGTAATTATCAACAAGCTAAATATAACATTATTAACTAATATCAATGAGTTTTTTTAAAGTTATATTAATAATAATATACGCTAGTTCATATGATATTAAATTAACTTTTTTAGATTTTCTCCAAATTTCTTTTTTAACTTTTTTAGATGAACTTTCATTCCTTTTATTTTGGCAATGAAAGAAAGTTTTAATTTTTGAGTTTTCATTATTGGTTCTGCTTCTTAGTTGATGATTTAGACAAATTTTCACCAAATTTCTTCTCAATGTACCTACCTCTCTTTCAAAATTAAATGTGGGTAGGGGTGTAAATGGGCCAGGCTGGCCCAGCCCGGCCTACATTGAGCCCAGCCCAGGCCCAGCCCTTTAGAAAAGTAGAGTAGGCTTAGGCTTATAAAAAAGCTTTTTTAATAAATAGGCCATAGGCTAATTTTGTCAAGCCCGGCCTACAACCTTGTAGGCTGGCCTATTTAATTTATTAAAATAAAATAATAAAATAATATTTATTTTATGTGGCAAAGACACAAAGTACCAAATACCAATATCTCTTACTTTTTGTGCTATTTTATTTTATGAAAGGAAAACTTGTCTAATGTCTCCAAATTTTACATGTTGTTGCAGCTTAATACCATGGAGCAATGGGTACCTTGCTGGATTATGATGTTACTAATGATGATCTTTCAATAATACTCTTCTTTCCCTTGTCTTGATGGTGGTTTAAAGATTTTTAGATGAATGACATTCTCTTGTAGACTTTATTTCAGCATCCAGTAATTGTATTTTTCTTATTTTTCCCATTTCTTTGACTCTATTCCTCTATGATATACATTCTAGAGCTGAGGTATTATGTTGACTCTTTCTTGTTTGTCATTTTTTTCTTATGAGAAGTACTAGTGCATGCATGAATGGAACATTCTTTACTACAATTATTTTTTTTGCTTAGTATATATAGTGGGAGGCCTACAAGGCTTGTAGGCCATGTCAGGCTTTCTTATTTTTGAAAATGGGCCGGGCTTGGCCTACAGATAAAGCCTTTAATAGGCCAGTAGGCCAGATAGGCTGAATTTTTTTTGACGTAGGCTTGGGCCAGGATGGCCAAAGCCCAGCCCAGCCCATTTACACCCCTAAATGTGGGTAGTAAAAAAGTGTAAAACTGATTATAAAAAAGAGAGTGTAAAATTAAAAATAATCCTCAATGTCATGGTACAAGCATTTAAGGGTCGGTTCCAACGTGAAAACCTTCCCGGAATGAGTTTTTTTTTAATTTCTGTTTCCGGGAATGAAAATGAATGAGAAACTTGTTTGGTAAATCCGGTTTATTTTTTTATTCCCCGGATGAACCGGTTTATTTTTTGTGCTGAGAAACAAAAAAAAAAATTAAAAAATTTCTGCTTTTCTCATTCTGGACAAAAAAATAGAATCAGTTTTCCAGGGCTCTCTCACGTACCCCTCACACACCCACACGAAACCATCACCGCCCTCAACATATCAGCAGACTACAACCCTGCTTCATCGCGGACGTTCTTCCGTCTCCTTCCCTCCCTCTCTCTTTCGCGTTCCCACTTGCAAGTCTTTCTCCTTCACGCAAGAACAACAGGTATGCTTCTCATCTCTTCGTCTCGCTGAATCTCGGATTAATGGTAGGAATAAAATCTTATTTTGTTACTTAATTTTTCTTCTTTTCTGACTTGTGATTAGAACTTGAAGGTGCAAATTTTTGGGATTTTTTAAATTGGGGCTAGGGTTCTTGAATTTCCAAATAGGTTCTTTTACGTTGTGGTGGAATTCTTGTGCAATTGAGTTTGTGAGTTTCCAAATAGGTGCTTTTGCTCTTGAATTTTTTAAAAGTCTTAGTTTAAATACAGAAGAGTTTTCGATTTTCATTACAAAAGGGTGTTAGAATCGAAATTCTCTTCTGTATGCAATAACTTAAATCATGGCAAAAAAAGTATATTAGTTTCTTAGGCTATTGAAATTCAGTTCTTGTTATAGCTTTTAACTTATTCACGTGCTCTCAAGGTTCTGTGAAAAGTTTTAGATAAAATTTGGTGCGGAAATAGAAAAAAAGAGAGAGAATGAAATAAGATGAATGGAACAACTTGTTATAGCTTTTAGCTATAACCCTCAACCTCTCAATTGAATCATCTCATCTTTATATCAATTGATGCAGTATGAGCATCACAAAGTTGAATATGTACCACATGCTTGACACCCCGTCTATAATTGTTCATTTTGGAGTTTTTTAAAGGAAAGGTGCTCATAGATTTGCGATTCATTGTATGAGCATAGGAAAGAGTCATCACAAAGTTGCTTTGAAAGGATTTTATGATTAAAAAGCTTTCTTCTTTTGATCATTAAATTCCTGAATTTGCTTATAATAGTGATGTACCACATAAACAGATATGGTATGGTGTTGGTTATGGTGTTAAAGGATTCCTGAATTCATGAAGTTGCTTTGAAAGGATTTTTTTGGTGTTGGTTATGGTGTTACGTTTGTGTTTAAGCAGAGATGGTTGTGCATATTCTTATTGTAAATAACAAATCAGTATAGTATTATTGTATATATGTAATAATCATATAACGAGATATGGTCAGAAATACATGATAGAGTCCAACTATGACAACCGAATCAATTGTTTATTTATATTAGGATACTACATTATCCAGCATGCGCATTAAACTAGTATGAGTTCACTGCCTTGATTGCTTGAAATATTGGCCCCTTTGCTTGGAACTTCAGGGTAGCATAGAGCTTCATGTAAACTCAGAGTTTGGGAAGAGGATGTCTATAGATATTCTTATTAGGCATGTGCAAGTTACAATATGTAATCCTTTTATTGGTAATCTGCAACAACCTCTCTTACTCAAGTATGAAATGAGCAAAGCAAGATTTTATAGGGGCCTGCTTTGTTTTCCTTAAATTGGGAGTATTTAGTTGGAAAGTAGAAAATTTAGCCAGAAGATGCATGATATAGGAAATCAATTTTTTTTAAGGGGGTTTACTTGTCTGGATCATATTATAAGAGACTGCTGATTTGATTGTCCTGATATTTTTCCTTTTGGCTTGTTTTGGTTTGCCTCTCACTCTCATCCTTGTTTGTTTAAGTTTTTATCTTCCTTCCATGTAGCCTTTGCGTACAGAGATTGTTGATTGTTAGGTGTAACAAAGCTAAAGTAAGTAAATCTGAATCCATTGCCACAATATTAACGATCTTGAGCTGCCTGTTAAATTCCTAAACGATCTTGTTGTAAGGTTTCACACAACCATTTGCATCCAAGTTACCCTTCTTGGGTTCATAATATATTTAATCGTATGGCAAGCATCCAATTACACATAAACCTCATAGTTTTACCAGACTATTATTCTCCAGCCTGAGTATGTGCATTTCTAATTTTTGGTGTTATGGTTTATTTTCTGACATGTTATCAGCAAGGAGTATGGCATCCGAAGGTTTCGTAGCAAAATGGACTGATAAAAACACACATCTTTTTGTTAATTTGCTGGTAGAGGAAGTAAAAAAAGGGAATATAACAACCTCTACCTTCAGTAAGAAAGCATGGAAAAGCATTAAAGATGAATTTACAAAACAAACAGCGCTTGATTACACACTAAATCAACTAAAAAACAAGATGAATAAACTTAGACAAGAATATTCAAGTTTCAAGAAATTACTAAGCATATCGGGTTTTGGTTGGAACACTGTTTTGAAAATTGCTACAACCGAGGATGCATCTTTATGGGATGTCCACATTAAGGTAACTTTTAACATAGTGTTCCCTATGATTTTCTGATCCTGTTGAGATGCCCAGTCCTGCACAACATAGACAAGATAGGACGCCAAATGCAAAGCGTAAAAGAGGTAGTAGGAATACAGATATTGCATTGGCATGTCAAGCCATTCAGGATCTGGTTAAGATCAGACAAAACCAATGCCACCATAATTATGCTAATTCTGCTACTACAAAAGTGAATGAGGATCCATACTCAGTTGAGGCTGCAATGGATGTATTGAATGACATGGTAGGATTGGAGGATGAAGTGTACCGTAAAGCAGTTGATCGAGTAGTTGAAAGCGAAGCATGGAGAGTAGCATTTATAAAGGCTCCACCTGAGAGGAGAGCTTCACTCCTATAAATTTTTAAATGAATGAAATTGTGTTGCAACAAACTTAATTTTGTCTTGTTTAACGGTGTTGAAGACCATATTTAATTCTTTTTTCGTATGACTATGTTGTGGATATTTTTTTAAATTTTCATTTTTCGTATGACTATGATGTGTGATTTATTTTTTGTTAATGTGAATTTTTTTTTTTTTTGAAATATGTTAGCATTAAATTAATGATAACAATATCTATTGATGCAGTATTGTCATGGCTGATGCTCCTGTTTGTCTGACTTGTGGGCAATATTTTGAACCTTATACTGACGACGAATCAATAGATGAAGATCTTGTTATATCAAACTTGTTGAATATTATTATTAATAATTCAATACATACCAAAGAACCCATTAGGGATAGTAGCTTGACAGGTGCTGAATGGGTTGCAGAACTTAGATCTGGCCACTCAGATAGAATATATGAGGCATTTAGAATGGAAAGATTTGTGTTCAACAAACTTTGTATGTTGATGACACAAAAAGGCTGGTTAGCAGACAGTAGATATATTAGGGTTGATGAACAATTAGGAATTTTTTTGTACTTGATTGGACATGAGAGTTCAAATAGGAATGTTTGTGAGAGATTTCAGCGTTCAGGGCAAACAATTAGCAAGTATTTCAGCAAAGTGTTGAATGCGATGCTTCAATTAGCACGTGAGATAATCAAACCACCTTCTTTTGATATGGTTCCAAAGGAAATTAAGGACAATCCTAAACATTTCCCATACTTCAAGGTAAGTTTTGTTTTAAAGATTCAAGTATTTTTTATTTTCAGAATTTTATTTAATTATTTTCCATTTTAATATTTGATTTTAAATATTAGGATTGTATTGGCGCAATTGATGGCACTCACGTAAGTGCTACGTTACCTGAGAATAAGCAAATACCATTTAGAGGCAGGAAACAAATTACAACCCAAAATGTCATGTGTGCATGTTCCTTTGATATGAAGTTCACTTTTGTGTATGCCGGATGGGAAGGATCCGCAAATGATTGTCGTATTTTTAGTACTGCGCTTGAAACTCCTAAGTTGGAATTCCCTCATCCCCCACCAGGTATGATGAGTTTATACAGAAATGTGAATGACATTTTTCGTTAGTTTCACATTTGATTGTCCTTATTATTGCAATTTATATATTGGTAAATTCTTGTCGACATGTAGGCAAATTTTATGTCGTTGATTCTGGATACCCAACTAGGGATGGTTATTTGACACCATTCAAAGGAGAGCGCTACCATTTGAATGACTATAGAGGAAGACGAAATCAACCCAGATCAACTAAGGAGTCGTTCAACCATAGGCACTCTTCTTTGAGAAATGTAATTGAACGGTCATTTGGAGCTTTGAAGAATAGGTTCCCAATTTTGCGTAAAATGCCTTCATTTTCATTTCGGAAGCAAGCTCTCATTGTGATTGCATGTTGTGCAGTACATAACTTTATCAGGGATCATCAGATAGCAGACAAAAATCTAGCACATTATGCAAATCCCAACATTGCAGCATCAACCCATACATCTGCAACTATAGATGATGAAGGCTCCTCAAATCAAGTGACCCAAATAGACATTATTAAGAAAAAAATTGCAAACCAATTAGCTATAGATAATCAATTGCCCCCAATATGATGTTGATGAATCAAGAGACATATTCGAAATACATTGGAGACTTGTCATTTTTTTTTGTTCAATGCAACATCAATTATTTTTTGCTTTAAGTTATTATGATGTCATGAAAATTTAGTTGAGTGATGTGACTTATGTATATGTATTTATTTATTCATTTGTATCATTAATATTAAGGTAATAATATGATATTAAAAAATAAAATGGTCAAGGGAATGAGAAACAAAAAAATATGAATTGTGAAGATGATTGAAAAATAATAGTTAAACCTATATATTAGCATTTGTCGTAAAAAAAATATATAATAAAATATTATAAATTTTTAGATAATTTTTTTAAATATAAAATTTTGCATTTCGGTTACAATCTATTGTCATTTGCTATTTTATACAGTTGATGAAATCTATAAACAAAAGTAAAGAAATAGATTTTTATTGTGTTATCAAACGTATTTCTGATTCTCGGAATAAAAATAAAATGTGTTATCAAACGTAATTCTGATTCTCGGAATAAAAATAAAATATGTTAACAAACGTAATTCTGATTCTCAGAATTGTTCCAAGGCACAGAAATAGAAAAGAATCATTTCTTTTCAGAAACAGTGTCAGGAATCAGAATAGTTGTCATGCGCAGCCTAAATTAGTGTGAATTTTAAAATTTCAATAACTAATTTCTATAACAAATAAATTTAGCAACTAAATATAAAAAGTGTAGAATATTTTGAGTACTAAATTCCGGTTTCCTCCAACAAAATGAAGAGACATTTATTTTTTCTCGGTCGAATAGAACATTTATGTCTCTTTCTTCTCAGTTTCTTGGCAAAATCATTAGGATTAATTCGTTTTCTCTGTTTGTAAATACTTAAACTTTTCCCAATTCTCACCATCGCCCAGTGATTTGGTACACCTCTGTCTCCTCCGATTCTTCTTTGATTTTTCGTCCCTTTGGAATAAAGTTGTAATCTTTGCCATTCTGGAGAAGTATAATCTGCTATTTCTCTTCCCAGTTGAATGCATGTGATTCTAGTTTATGTTGCGGTGATTATTTGTTGTGATTCTTTTACTCAAATGTTGCTAATTTTGTCTGTGCGAGATGAAAAGCAGTTCTTTTCATTGTCATTTTGTTAGTTCAACGTGAATTTCATTCGATCGACTTAATGAAATTCGAAACTGAGAGAAAAAAAAACACCCTCAGGGTTTTCCATTTAACGTAATGCATAATCCTCAAATCATTACAGGCTGTGTTCAAATTTCTACCTTGCTTTCATGAGGCTTAATTGCATAGGCATTGCAGTAGTACATTGCAAAAATGTTCTACATGAGTCTTACAATGTTATAACTTATAATACTCTTTGCCAGCCAAATAATATGAAATATTGGGTGCTGGAATTTGTAGAGTTTCTCTCTTGTTTAACATTGGGTGATTAGTAGATGAGACTGAAGTGAATTTGGGAATTAAGGTCAATGTTTGGGATTTATGGGATGATTTATATTTATTTAATTAATTTATTGGTTATTTATAAACATTGAAGAATCATGTGTTGAACAACTTGGAATTTTTTATTTATTTTGATCTTGTTCTTTGGTCAACAATAGTCAGATTTCTCTTGTTCAAAGTTGCACATGTAGAAGAGGGAAGGACTGAGCTTCCAAACTTTCCTCTAGAGTAGAGGCAAGGATTAGACTGTCATAATAAGCTGCCAGCTTTCCTTCAATGGGTGCTCCTAAGCAGAAATGGACTGCAGAAGAAGAAGCAGCTCTGAAAGCTGGAGTAGTCAAACATGGGGCAGGAAAATGGCGCACTATACTTACAGACCCAGAGTTCAGTGCCATTTTGCGCATGCGTTCAAATGTAGATCTCAAGGTATGTCTTTCCAACAGCCTAGCTGGTTGTAAGAAGTGTCAAAGAAAGGAATTTTTGTTATTCTTTCAGGTTGGGAATGTTACAATTGCACTAGCCAAATGATCATCTGGGTATTGCATCATAAAAGAAATATATAGAGATAGAGTCCTTTGCTTTGATCATATTGCCAAAGTTATGGCATACCTTTGGTGTACTAGTATATATGCTTTGAACTGTTGACAGGATAAATGGAGGAATATAAATGTGACAGCAATATGGGGATCCCGGCAGAAGGCAAAGCTTGCCCTTAAAAGGAACCTACCAGCCCCCAAAATTGACAATAATAATTTGGCCTTGAGTACAGTTGTTCAACATGATGAAGTTCTCGATACTAAGCCCCTAGCAGTTTCTGGTGGAACATTGCAATCTCCTAATTCAAAAGAACAAATGTCAAGGTTGTAGAAATTCCAGTTAAATGTATCTGCCTTTTCATTATCTAGAGAAAAGAGATTATCTTCATGACTATGTTGCTCTGTTGGTTTACTTTTGTTCTTGAATAGCATTTGGACGTTGTAAACTTGTCGATATAATATTTCTTACTAGTAATTAGCTCTAAGGTTGCATTAAGCCATGTACAAATATACCAATTTTTATAAACGAATAAATAACTGGACTATGCATGCAAAGTTTGTTATTTCCTTTGTAAGGTATCTGGAGTTCTGATCCTTCATTTTTTATGGTGTCATAAGTTTCTGCTCTAAGCATGGCAAATATATATGAAAAAGATTTTTATTATTGCCAATATGGAGTGAAGAAGAAAAGAATAAAAAGATCATAGACTATATATAAACTACGCAATGGTCAAGTGCCTTTGGATGAAATAATATGACTCATACTTTTACTTCCTTTTTACAAAAAAAATTATGTCTTGAGCTTCTTCTCTGACTACATGCATTCCTTGTATGCTTAAGAAAATACTATAAAAAATTTGCAACATCTTTGTACTTTGATTCCTTTGCTTATTGAATTCATGCTTAGGTACATTTATCTTAATCTTGTCATACACCAGTGTGCATTAATTCTAAATTCAAGTGTCTCTGATTTTATATCTGTTTTACTTGCAGTTACAAATAGGTGATAGATAGTTTTCTTCTTTAATGTCACTTCTGATAACAGCAGTCCATCTTGTGCTCAAATGCTAAAATCATGCAGCAATATGCTTTTTAATTATGGCAGCAATATGTTTTTCAATGATGGCAGGTTGTTGGATAATCATGTATTACAGGCTATTGTCAATATGAAGGAGCCAAGGGGTTCTGATAAGGCTGCCATTGCTTCTTATATAGAGGTATTTTTACTTCACTTCACTTATGATAGTAGAATCTAAACATTTCAATATGCTAATGATCATCAAAATTTGAGTGTTATAATGACTACCTCAATTCCTGCTTTTGTGGGCCTCTTTTTTCAGGGTTTTCCCTATCTCATGAATTGGTTAACATATAGGCTTAGACAGTAAATAATTTTTATTTGCGCCTAATGCATCCAATAATTTGCATTTTATATTTGATTAATGGATTATCTATATGTTTCAAAATAGATGTAATTATGTACTAGCCTTCTATGTGAGTGATCTCACAGCAGTAGAAATCTTTGAAACTGAAAGGAAATATTCCTCTCCTAGGTCCATGTAGTGCTCTAGAGGGTGAGCCTTGGAGCAGCGATAAGGTTGCTCCTTTGTGATTGGAAGGTCATGGGTTCAGGTCTAAGAAATAGCCTCTTTGCAAAAATGCAAGGGTAAGGCTGTGCACATTCAACCCTCACCCCTACCCCCACAAATTTGTGGAGCTTTGTGCACTTGGGTTTGCCCTTTTTAGCTCCATAGTACTATATTTTTTATTAGTTGCCTGAAATTTCAACTAGCTATGACATACAACTCACATGGTAGAACTGGTTACAAAAGTAGCATTTGTTTTTTTATTTTATTTAAATATTTCTTTGGGTCAAGTCTTTGTATGTGCTCGCACCTGGCAAGTAACATGTTAATTTTTTTCTCTACAATGGTTCACAAAAAATAGCATATTGAACCAGTCATACTAAGCTATATGCTGCATATCTTGTCTTTAAAGTCAACCTTTACTAGCCTTAGAACATTGGTGAACAGTCATTACAGCTAATATTAGCGTTATAATGTTTGCTTACATACTTGTCTGGATCTTTATATTAAAAGTAATTCTGAAACTTTTCAACTCTTTAGGAAAAGTATCGGTCTCCACCAAACCTCAGAAAGTTACTGTCATCAAAACTGAAGCATATGGTAGCAAGTGGCAAAATAATCAAGGTAACTTTACTATTGGTTACTGCTGTAGCAAAGCCCATTAAGCTCCGGATGCAAACCTGTTAATAGACATATCGAATCTGGATAATGTTTGGAGGCCATACTGAAGTTTTTCGTGTATGATAGAGATAATTTTATAATAACATATATGATGTTACCGAAAGTTAACAGAAAACGATTGACAAAGAGAAATTAATTGGTTATATAATTATGTATAGATGCAAATAGATATATATTTCCTTGTGGCAGTTGCGATGTACAAATCTGGGCATTTACTTTCACAAGAGAGAGAATTCTATTTGAGTTGATAAATTGGTTAATTGCCTCATATATAATAAACAAATATTCCCACTGTAACATAGTCATTTGGCATGCAATTAAATTCAATATATGATAAGTTAATCCTGTGTGTGACATATCTATTGACAGGAAAAACATAAGTTCAAGATTGCACCGAATTCAGCAGTCTCTGAGAAAAGAAGATGCTCCTCCTCGCTACTTCTGGAAGATAAGCCCAAAGATTCTCCAGAAGCGGAAAAGACTGATGTCAACATTCTTTCAAAATCCCAAATTGATGCAGAGCTTTCAAAAGTGAAAGGCATGACAGCTCAAGAGGCGGCTGCTGCAGCTGCAAAAGCAGTTGCGGAGGCAGAAGTTGCCATTGCACAGGCTGAGGCAGCGGCCAGGGAGGCAGAGGCTGCTGAAGCTGAGGCTGAGGCTGCTCAAGTGTTTGCAAAAGCAGCAATGAAGGCGCTAAAATGCAAAATGCTTCATATTTGGTAGCTTTCTTACCAAGAAATCTATGTTGATACCTGTAGATGAGATGGTCATAATTTTATGAGTAAATACCCTTTTTAGTCCCTAACAAAAAATACGGTCCTCACTTTAGTCCCTTACAAAAATAAATTAGTCAGTTAGTCCCTAACAAATTCAAAGTGGACCCATTTAGTTGAAATCGTGGTCCCTCACAAATTCAAAAAAGACCCATATTAGTCCCTCAAAAGGACTAAAATGGGTCCACCTTGAATTTGTTAGGGACTAACTGACTAATTTATTTTTGTAAGGGACTAAAGTGGGGACCGTGTTTTTTGTTAGGGATCAAAAAGGGTATTTACTCTAATTTTATCTAAATTATACTTTCCCGTTTAGAATGCTTTATCACATCCTCAGTGTTTAAATTTTATGTTGGATCTCTGCACTCTCAAGTCAATCACTCCTGTAGAATCTTCAAACCCTTATATATTTTTCTTTTTGCTCTTGGTTACTTAATAATAGTTTGACCAGTATATGGCTCAAGATATTTCTGCAAGTGGTTAATTTGCTCAAAACATCTTAGCCCAACTTTTCACCAAGCTGATCACTGAATTTCTGACAGTGTCTACTCTGCAGCTCTATTCCATAATTTTCCAATGCCTAGCACCTAGTTGTTCCAGTCTCCAGAATAATGGAGTCAAGATCTCAGTTAATATTCTTTTTACTCTTTTGAGTTAGTTTTTGTCAAAGCTTAAACTTTTAGGTGAAGATATATGTATGGTTTTATATTACATCTATAACAGATCCCCTCATGCAAGATCCCTTCAATGTATATGCCCAGTCATAAACCAATTCTAAACCACTTAGTCATAGAGGCTCTAATACTATGTGATGAACCAATTCTCCCAACAGCTTTCAATTTTTGGTGAAGACACATAAATTGTGTAATATTACATCTTTTAACAGTTTCTTTTGCTACTCAACATTAATCCCCACTTTGCTCGCTTGAGACTAACCTCCTTTTTTTTCATAAAAATAAATTCATTAAGATGATTACAAAGAGTTAGGAAATAAGAGATCCTCCTTACAGAGTAAAAGTAAAAAAGAGAAGGAAGTCACAAATGAAGAGAACAGAAAAACATTAATTAAGCAAAGCTTTTGTATCTCTCAACATTTCTGTAAGAGAAACCCCTTAAAAGACCATGGACTTTACACCAAGTAGAAGCCAAACGTCTAATCTTATCACAAAGGAGCTGATCATCCAAAGAAAACTCCTTAAAAGATGAGGGAATTAAGCTCCAACCAAATACACCAAAGAGTGGCATAGTTTGCACATTGCCACAAAAATGTGGCCTCTTTCCTTCTTCCAAAACCAGTAAAGCTAGTCAACAGACTCTGTTCCGAGGACCTAGGGCAAAACCAGCACTCTCTGAAGATGCCAAACAAAGAATTTCATAAAGAAACAACTATAGAACAATGTACGAACAAATGGGGAACTGATTCTGAGTTCGCACCATACATAACACACATACAAGGGGAAATTGCCATATGATGCCTACGAATCTATTGCCATTGCTATTAATTCCATCAAATACTCCTTTCCAAATAAAGGACTTTAACCTTAGGGGGAGCTTTGGACTTCCTAAGCGGTTTATCAAGGTGAAGTGTAACTCTATTTAATGAATGGGTTAGGTATTGAAAGTAACATATACACAAAATCACCCCAGAAGGATGAGAGAAAACTTTCTCATTACATTTTCTTCCAACCAAAAGTGACTCTTGTTAAAGGACGGTTTCTCTCCAAGCTTAATTAGTTGTGTATTTTTTTTTTATTTCTCCACCGATTCATTCATTATCCGACTAATCCGAGCTTGGTCGGACCCATATTGGAGGCTATTCCAAATTTGTTTTTTCCATTCAAAGACCTCGAACTCGAGATTTTTGATTAAGAGGAATAAGCTCCTTACTGCTTGAACCAATGATTTTTGTTGTCAGTGCACTATTGTTATGCCTATATGTAAGTAGTTTGCCTTAGTTCTTTTAGTTTAGTTCTTTTCAAGCTTTATTTAGTACGGCATTATTCCGATGCCTTTATAGAAGTAATTTATGTTTGTTCTCTTAGTTTAGTTTTTTCTAAGTTTAATTAATGCTTCTTTATTCTGATGCTATATAGTAGTTTCTATTAGTTCTTTTAGTCAAGTCTGTTTATTGTTTGTGAATTTGTGCAGATGGTGTGGACTTCTGCTTGTTCATCATCAGTAGAATTGGCTTGAGATAATAGTTCTGCTGCTGCGCTTCCTGCCTTTTCTTAAAACTGTACATAATTTTCGGTTTGTAAATCTGGAATTTGCGTGATGATTCACGAAACATTTTGTCAGGAGTCAGTAATAGCTTATATTTTATTTTCCCTTTTTCTTATTTCTAAAGGAAGAAAATTAGGGGAAGGTTACTAAGTACTTACGGTCACGGAAGAGTGGTAACAGCGATGGAGTGCTGTAATGGAATGGTTGACATCCACCGAGAGTAAATTAAAGAAAACAATTTTTAGTATTGTTCCAATAGCAATATGGATTGTCGTTGCCATGCAGATTATATTTGCTAGAATGATTGTTCTAAGATATTGCTACATTACTCTGGCTATGTAATACTTCCTTTTGAGGTTTGTCAAAGTTATATTTAGGCCTCTTTTGTCTTCTGATTTTTTGACCGTACAGAATACACCACAACTGTGTACGGTATAGATAAAGTTTAGAGAGGCATTTGTGTCATGCAAATTTAGAAAATACTCAGTACTTTTTTGGAGTAAGTTGGGAGATTGGTGAAATTTAGGAAAACCTTGGGAGCAAATAGTACTAAGTTCTTTTTTAACAATTGTTGTGCATCAGCACAATAGAGAAAGCCAGTTCATCTCTGCCGCTCAACTAAGAGGATTTATGATTGTTCTTTGTAAATGTTTTTTGGTTTTGCGTTCTAGTGTTGTAAATGTATAGAAATGCTTAGTGATAACTTTTTATTAACAATCAATATACTCCTGTAAGAATTACAATATCAGGAAACATTCTAAACAATATAAAATGCAAAAAACATGACCAGGCTAAAATATGATATTTGGTAAAATCCTGGATATCACGAGTAAAGTCGAAAGCACAAATCAATTTGGAGAGAACTAAAGAGAGCCTTCTGCACCAGCACTCATCAATGAACAACATGAATTTTACTTGAACAATCTGCAGACAAATTTTGTGATCAAGACAAAAGATTATTTAAACAAGAGTGACATTTTTATCACTTTAGTTTTATAAATTTTAATTGGGTTCCCTTTTTCCAATTACAACATCGTTGCAGATATCAAAATGTTGATCAGAACAAGCTAATTTATGGTGAACAATGTTACAGTTTCCTCTCCTGTTCAGCTAGTATATGTACACACTAAAGAAACTTGGCAGTTACTAGCCACAACCAAGTTTAGAGTGTAACAAGCTCGGATCCTTCTTTTCTCATTTCCTTCCATAAGTCCAATATTTCATATGCTGAGGGTTTATCAATTACTCCATGACCAACATCATCTTCAGAGCTTCCATCATCACAGAGCTCCTCAACTAAACTATCAGAAGACTTGTCAGGTGTCAGATCATCATCACATAAACTCATTCTATCTTCAATATTACAGTTTGGAGGCCTGCAAACCATGACATCATTATCATCTCCTCCATCAGCTTGATCAAGATTAAAGGTAAATGTATCTGGTTCAGCACGGTAACTACCAAAAAGAATATCATTCCCAGATTCAGCACTTCCCATCATCATTCTCCCTGAAATATTTGGCACATTTTCAATTCCACCATCATCAATTCCCTCATTCTGACCATTGATAGTATTTTCACTTCCGAAAGGGATGATACTAGATATGTTTCTTGATGCGCCTAATCCACAAAGAACATGCAATGACCTGGATAAATTTGAGACTGTTGGTTCTGATACCACATCACAATTGCCAAGAGCATCCAACAATTGCTCTAGATTTTCATGACTAATTCTGTCTTCATTTTCCTTAAACAGGACTGTCCACTGCTTTTCAGTCACTCGGAATGGTGCATAAGCCATGGTGTCAACTAAGATGACAGCTCTCTCATAATTATGTTGAGCTATAGCTTGAATCACCAATTCAAAAAAGAGAATATGGTGAGGAATTTCTCCAGCTTCCAGAATCATGTCAAATACATGCTCAAGTAAATGCGACTGCATTGAAACAAAAATATGCCATCAATTTCAATGTTTAGAAAACAAATAATACAAAATCAACCAGTAAGAGGTAACTTTTGTGGTTTGATTGGATGACAGCAGCCACTAGAAATAAGTATAAGAAAAACGCAGTTGGATCACTTCGCTCTGAAAATCATCCAACAAATGTTATTGACACTGATTCTATAGGATAAAGCAAGAACTAAATCACTAATGCAAAGGTTTCCATCAAGATCACAGGTACAAACCTGAATTTGTGTTTATGATGAATTATGCGTATGAATTTGTACATATACTTGCACACAGTACAAATAATTGATAAAAATGGCACAGACATCATAATAGATTATCTTTTTCCACCATGAGTGTGAATTGACGGATGAAATTCATGCATTCTTATGTAGAAATGTAGTTGGGATGTAACACAAATCTTATAGGATATGATACTATGAGCAGAAATATAAAATAAATGCAAAGGCTAATATAAATAATATTTTCTACCTTGCCAGCTCTTGAAGCTTCAACAAGTACAGACAAGTGTTTATTTTGATCAAGCTGATAACCGGAGAGAATCATCTCTCTGTACCAATGCTCAAAGTATTCCCACTGGTGTGCACTGGCAGAAGATTCCAACATTATGTGATATGTGTACACATCTGGGACAACAGAGCTACTACCACCCTCTTGGGGGGCATAAAAATCTGACTTGGCTACTTTAACTTCCTCAAATAACTCTTTAGCTTTGGAAAACATATCATTCTGACCATAAACTTTGAGCATGGTATTTATGGTCCCTATGTTAGGAGCACAGTGCTTTTTCATGCATTCAAATATACATATGCAATCATCAAAATATCCACCATCCATGGAAGACTTAATCATGCCAGTGAAGGTAACCTCCAAAGGCCTAGAATGAGGAAGTCTTTTAATCTTCTCAACCTGCAGTCATAGTTGAAGGAAAATGTATTTTAACAAGGGTTTATAAGTAGCTATATGTTTATCTAACCACGCCCATGCAAAAAAGAAGAGAGTAAACCCCCAAATTCATCCCTAAGAAATTTGGAGTGAACACATCAGTCGCTGAGAAATGAAAGACCCACCTGTGGTTTATATGGAACCACAAGTGTTAGTCACATTGGTCCTTCTCGGGGACGAATGTTTCCATTGCCTAAGGACAAATGTGACCAATATTTGTGGTTCCATAGGGATCATGGAGGGGGTGGGGGGTTTAAGTTCAAATATGTCTGCCGCCCTCAAGGACACATTTGGGGGTTTACTTGAAAAGAGTAAAAAAACAGTACCTCTAGAATAGCATCTTGCCACCTCCCATAGTTGCAGAGGCAACAAGCTAGCTCATAATATACACTGGCTGTTCCCATAACTCCTCTTCTTTCCATTTCCCTGACAGCTTCCACAGCTTCATCAACTTTACCTTCCATCCAGAAAGTTCTCACCAACACTAAGGAAGTAAGATGAAGCATATATCAGCTATCAGGCTATATCGGCTGCCAAATATCAGCATCAAATGATAAGAAGGAAGTAAAAAGCTACCTTTATAAGTAACGGCTTTTGGAACTTCCCCACTTCTCCTCATCTTTCCAAACAACTCATGGACAAGGTCATAATTGCCCGATTGCAGCATTACCTTATAACAAGCACCACCTGTAAGACTTGAATATAAACATGCAGGGTAATAACATATGAAGGTAATAACTTTTACTTCATCAACCAATTTTCCCATTTAGCCATAAATACTCTCAAATATAATATAACTTAAAATTAGCTTGATAATGCGTGGATAAAATGAAAATTTGAGCCATCATACAAGCATGGATACCTAATTCTGAAGCATTAATCAAATTATCAAAAAATGATTACCTTATTAAATCAGTGAAATAGATCTTTAGAGAACATTTTTTCCCAAAAACAGTTGATATTGTACATACGTCACAAGCTGCCTACCTTAATTCCACTTTTTTTACGGAAAAAAATCAATGAAACTGAGCTAATAATAGGAACTTAGAGATAATAGAGCACCAAAAATGAAGAGTTGAGAGAATAGAGAGAAAGAAAGAGATGTTTTTCGTTTTTGGGTATCACGAATCAAGGAGTGATTTTCTCCAAGGGGTGTCCCCTTTGACAACGTTACAGATTATTTCCCGAAAAAGTGCTCCCCCATATAATTTCTGCTATTTATCCAACTAATGGCTACTGATCGAATAACAGTCAGAGTACCAAATAGAGCCCATAATATCTAGCAACCAGCTTCGAATGCAGCCTCGAAGGTATGGATGGAACCTTGGCTATGGGCCAAATCATCAGGAAGACCCAATCACCAACCTGAATGGCAGGGGACATCGGAGTGCATTAGCACATTGTACCATATGAAATTGGGCTATGGTCAAATGACACTTTAGCTGACGAAAGGCCTCATCCCTAGCCAGCATATTGTACATACTTAAAAAGCTGCCTCCCTTAATTCCACTTTTTTTTGTTTAATACAAAATGAAATGGAACTGAGTTACTGATAGGAAATTAGCGAGAATAGAGCACCAAGAATGCAGAGATGAGAGAATAGAGAGAAAGAAAGATATTATCTTTTATTGGGTATCACGAATCAAGAAGTGATCTTCTCCAAGGGGTGTCCCTTTTTACATCTGCACAATGAGCTCGGTTATAGATTATATCCCAAACAGCTACCTTCCCTGTACAATTTTGACTATTTATCCAACTACCTGCCATCCTAACTGAATAACTGTCCTAATATCTGGACTAGCCTAGAAGCTTCTCTTATTCTTTCTAGTATACACTCTCCTTGCCCCCAATAGATTGAGTCTCATCCCTAGTAGTTAACCATATAGAACTAAGTTGTTAGAGACATAACAGGCAAAAGATGATACTGTACTCTTGCCACTTACTTCCATTGCAAGTCCAAAAGTTGCCCCATTAGGTTTCAGGCCATTTTTCCTCAGTTGCTTAAAAACCCATGAAACGCCTTTCCACTGCTTCGATGGAACACAAGCATTAAGTACCTAAATGCAATTGAAGAAATTTGACAGTTTAATCAATCTGCAAAATGGCATTTACTAGAAAGTTATATGATACCTATCTAGTTACTTTCTTACAGCGTTATATATAACCACATCAGGTTCAAGAATTGGATCCCAGTTCCTGCGATACATAAATTTAACTGTTTTGGGTTTCTGCCTCATGCATTCCACAATATTCAGCAGCTCTTTCAGAAGACCAGCTTGACCAAGTGTAACAGCAATGCTGTGGTACGCAGCCATATCAGGATATACATCGACATTTCCCTGAATAAGTTGAAAGTAAATCATCCAGTAACATCACAATAACAATAAAACTGTAGCCTTCACGTGGAAAACAAACAAACTAAGCACTAGATTCTTACACGCATCAAATTGAAAATTTGAAGGGCTTCCTTTGGCTTTCTTGCCTTCCCAAGAACTGCAAGAAGTTTCGTGTAAACAAACCTACAAAATCATTATTAATTTCTTCGTAAGAGAGAACTGAGAATGCAAAGCTCTAATCATGTAAATAAAACAACAAAAATATGGATAGGTAAGAAATAATCATTCATATTATTTGGGGCTTTAATACACCGAGCTGAAGATATGCTCAATTAGCACTTTGCACTACCCACATCATTTATAGCAATCATCGATCATGACATTCGTCTTCCCAACAAGCACCATGTCCAGCAGAGTGTTTAAAATCTGTTCTACTCTTTTCTTTTTTCTGTTCTCTTGATTAACACATTAACAAAAGCTGTTCTATTCTGTCAATATGTTTGTTTAATTGATTGTTTTCTCAAAAATTAAAAACCACAAATAACACAGATTTCTCAAGTGGCCTTGAACAATGGCACTAAACCAAGACAAGTTTATAAAGTCATGCTATGCTAAAAAAATCACCTGCTTTGATATTTCCTGTGATCCTTATAATTGTACACCCATTGGACCACAGAAAGAGCTTGCTTCCAACAACCTTTAACACCAAGCATTTCAACAATCCTCAACAATTGACCCTCCATAAATGGCAATCCCGACAGCTTCATTATCCTTGAAAGCTTCCAATCCCTCGTTGTAATCTCTCTATCACTTAGCCTACATTTAAAATAAATAAATAAACACTCTCCATAACCAAACAAAGATGATAAATTAATGCAATTCCCAGCAAAAACAAATTGAAAATTGAACACGAACCTATCAACAAGAAACCTTATAACCTCAGCCTCGCTGCGTTTCCGTTCCGTGTTCCTTACCCCTAAGCTTTCATTGAACCAATGCTCATTGACTTCAATGTCATCGTCGAAAACCCACTTCAATTCATCCATCTTTCGTGCCTGGAACATTTCCTTCAGCTCCATTAAGCTCTCCCTCTTGAGCTTTTCTCCTCGGTACTTCTTGTTTCCCCTCATACGCTCCAAAAACTCAACCTTTTGAAGCCCTTCCCATGGCTTCCCCGCCATTAACAAAGCCTCACCCTCGTTGCCACTGGCTTTGCCTTCTATTTCTTTTTTGAATTCTCTGTATTCGCGTTTGAGTGCCTGAAAGTGTTGCTCTTCCGACAACTCTTGCCTTTGGGACTCAGTGAGTGGAGGGGGCTGGTTCGCTTGTTTCAGTTTTCGATTGTGTTTTTGGATTTGTTTCTTACGGAGATTGTGGACAATCTTGGGTGTTGGAAAGACACCCTTTTGAATGAGGTTGCGTTTGATTTTGTCGGTGTCTGATTGGAATTGGGCAACTGAGGGAAGAGAAAGAGAGTGTGCTTGCACTTGCAGAGTTTCCATAGATGATGAAGGTGTGAGTGTGAGTGATATGTGAATTCGAGATTATAGTTTTGAGGCTTCAAATATGTCATGATTATAAGATAATAAGTTGGCTAGCGGAAAACACAAGATATTTTCTTAGTGATAATATTACTCTCCCATTCATTTTCTATATTGATGTTTTACCTTGTCACAAAAAATAAATAAATAAAGACAAAGATATGGCCTGTCTATCAAAAAAGAAAATAATTGTTTAGTTTTTTGTTTTTAAAAAAATTTATTTGACGATGGGTGTTTTGTAAAAATGATTCTGATATTGGATGTTGGGAAAAAATGTTTCTGCAATTACTGCAGATAAATTATCTGTATTTATTCTCAAAACGACGTCGTTTTGGTGTTGAAATCTTAAAAAATTATAAATATAAAGACTATTATAACTCTGAAATAAATTAAAATTACAAAAATACTATGATTTTCGTCCCAAAACGATATCGTATTGGACTTATTGCAAATAACTTATCTATAGTAACCGCAGAAAAGCGAAACTTAGATGTTTTGAACTAATTATATTATGCTAAACATACTCATATTGGAGGGCATTGATGGTATGAGTGAAGAATTAAAAAAAATATTGAGTACTTACTAAAAAGTTATCGAGTTGGTGTAGTCAACGGTGACAATTTAAGTCAACACGACGTGATATGATATAAATTTAACACGAATATAAAATAATCGACACAAGCATAATCTGTTTTATTTTGCATGTTGATATAAATAACCTATAAATTTTATGTTTGAAACAAGATACATAATACTAATTTCTACCGTCGTTTTAGTTTTTGTCAACAACTGATAGATCTAAATACAAATCTCTCCTATCGTGTTGAAAATTGTAGTTTTATAAAGTAAATGAATACATGTGAGGACATAAACTCATATAAACTCTGCTCCAAACAACCCGACCCCTAACTGGTACTCAATGAATAAATGTATGTACAACACATGAACATGTAGATGCCCTTAATTTTATATTCTAACCAAAAGGAAAGAGATAAAAACATTGAACGCTAAAAGATAAAATAAAAAGAGTAATATATTATTTTAAACAAATTACCTTTAGCTGTAATAAACTAATAAGTATATCTAAAAAATTTGTCCTTATAATTAATAAATTTTCATTGAGAATTGCATAGTTGCATTCAATGTAAGTGTTTATTGAAAATGTTGAATTTTATACTATGTATATTCACTTGATCAAGACTACTATAGACATATTTTCCGTCCATACATTTATTAATTGAGTTAATGAGTTGAGTGCAGGATGGGGATGGAATTGTGTGGTACAGGTGCTTTATACAGCGCAACCCTTAGTATACAGGGCAACCCTTAGTGGAACATGTACATAGAGAAAATGGAATAGTAAAAAGAAGAACAAACAAAAGAAATCAAATTTTTATGAAAGAAAGAAACCCGATTGAGAAGAAGTCACAGAAATGAGGGGATAATGAGGCAGCTCACGCAATTCACAAACCCTATCCCACACATTTCACATATGGGGAAAGACTATGGTCTTGTCTTTGTTCAAAATTTGTTCTGTTACAGAAACTGACCTATAGATTTATTGAAGTTTTAAAAGTATCTTTCATTTTGTGTTCGATCAAGCAATAAGCATAATTTTGAAGAGTTTAATATATCAACGAAAATTTTCACTTGAATAATGAGTTTGGTTTGAATTTTTATTTTATTTTTTGGATTTTGGAATAATTCCCTTTAGAACTATTGAGTAGATTGTCAACAAGTTTGATGTTTCCATTATCTAAGTCAGCAGTGATCCTTCAAACTTTATGTAAATTTGTAAGGAAAAGACTAGGTTTAAGGTTACCCTACGAACTGATTAAGCTTGACACTCCTTTCAATTCCCAAGAAGACTTTACAGCAGCATAACCTACGGGTGATGTGAACATGATTTTGTAGACATTCGAAACATTTTGCAAATTTTTTACGGCAACGAAATTACGCTAATGATCTGTAGAACTACATATATATGGCCAGATTTCTAGACCGTAGATATAACTTTACGCACATTGTCTATGTAAATTGTAAGTTCTTCACATTTACAACTTCAGAGAACATTGTCATTGTATGAACTTATAAGCAAGTTCTTTGAAAATCTAACTACATATGTAGTAATGAATAGAGGAATAATCATAGTTCTACGTCAATCAGAATTCAGAGCTATATTGGCACTATCCTCAGTTCAGATTAAAACGTGTTGATGTACTTATTCTTCTACCCCATGGGCAGAAGAGGAACCTCAACCACCACGAAATATTGAATTAGCTTTTCTCTTAAAATTGTAGCTTTGGTTGTAGAATGCAAGAATGAAAATCTTCCAACATAAATAGATAAATAAGATAAATTGACAGTCAAAAGAATCCAGCTGAGTAATGAGAATATTCGTATTTGAAAGACTACTGGAAATAACAAGATCAGACATTGCTAATCATTGGGAAAAACAATCTAATCTAATTTACAGAGACAAAAGAATCAATTCCTCTCGCAAATGCAGTTCTTGTCAGTATTCTAAAGATGTAACTAAACTAACAATGACAACATGATTTTACTCATAAAATAACCCTTCAGATATATGCCATCCCGTTTGATTCCCCATTGGACATGAATAACATTACATTATAAAGCATTTGAGAAAAAGGGCAAGAATAAACAAACAGCAACCGAGTTAGACATGCAGATGCCTCCAGCAACATCCAGATATATGTCACAGAGAAATTACAGTAGAGTACAAGACAGAAAGGAGCCTCTCAGTTCTTTGATTTGGAATGCTTTACAAGCCAATCAATAACAGAATCAATGTTGGTCGAGTTTTTACATGAGATCATGAAGCAGCAAACTTCCCTGTCAGTAATTGACTTCAGATCCCTGCATACCATATAACTCTTTCAGCACTAAAGCAATAAAAAGGAAAAACAAAAACAAAAACAAAAGATAGAAGATGTAATATTTCAATCAACACAATACTGTAACTTTCTAGGATTAGTTAGGAAAATAAAAAATGGAAGATTTAACACTGAAATCAATTCAGCACTGTAACTTTCTACGGTTAATTTACTCTGTTATTCCTCCAAATTTACCAGAATAAAAGTGACATATATCTTACATTTGGTCAGTCAAAGCTTGTTCAGACAGAGCTCCTGGTTTGTCAATCTTGTTCCCCAACACCAACAAAGGAATACCACTCAGTGATGGTTTACTCAACAAATCATGCAGTTCACTCCTCGACATGCTAAGGTTATCTGGATCAGCAGCATCAACAACATAACTGCAGGAAATACCATACTAAGTGAACTTGCTAAACTTCATAAATTCAACTATATTAACAGAAATTCAATCATTACAAGATAAATAAAACATTAGAATCCAACATTAAGTTAAATGTATAAGGAGAAAAGAAAAATTAAGCAACAACTACACGATCCAATCACAAAACTGCAAAAGATCTAAGAGAAAGACATACACAGCAGCATCGCAATTTTTGAAGAGAAACAACAAAAGCTGAGAGTCTTTCAGAAATCGGCAGCAGTAAAGCATACATAGTGTGAGTTTTAACTTGTTCACTCTTGGAACTATGGAACTCATACTCAGCAAAGCATACATAGAATTCATCCAATGAAGGACAATCAAATCTGGACAAAGTTTCAATTAGCTATACTCACTTCCATGCTTTACAAGCTGCTCTAAACATGATAAACAATATTAACTAGTTCATAATCAGAAGGGAAAATGAAACGTTTGTTACATACACAATAGCAGAAACCGCACGACAATAACGTTCCCACATGCTGCGGAACCTTGGTTGCCCTCCAAGATCCCATAACTTTATTGTAACATTTCCTTTTGTTACTTTCCTCATATTGAATCCCACCTAGAATTAGAAGAAAAATATATTGATCAGAATCTCATTGCCCTCGATAGGCAGAAAACTTCGTAAAATCTAATAAGTAGAGGAGAAAGCTATAATTAAAAGCATTTGACAAACAGCACTTACCGTAGGAATCATATCCTCGCTATACCCACCCGTCTAGAAACAAGATCAGGAAAATATCTTTCAGTGAATCAGCCAAATCAAGAGAACAAGTCACTAAGATAAAGTCAATATGATTATTATACTTACAGCAACAACATTTACAAGTGAAGTCTTTCCAGCATTCTGAAGTCCAATCAAAGATAATTCCATTTCCTGCTGGAAAAAAAGGCTGCAATCAAATTTACGATGTAAGCTATTTTGAAGAAAGTGTACACCAAGCTCAGACCAAGCATCCAAATAAAAAGTATATACAAAATTCAACTTCCAGTTACGATCCAAAACTTAAAAAGTTTTGAGATAAAAAGAGAAGCATGTTTAGTATTCAATAAATACAAAAAACCACTTATTCAACACTTCACAAATTTCCTATGCAGCAGCTCCTGTCACTAATCCAGTGTTTGGGAACTTCAACTTCACAGTTGAAAATAATTCATTTGAAATGAAATGATTCACAAATCATGAACAATAAACACACAAACCGATTTTCTACATGAATTGAATTCTTAAAATAATATCATTCCAAACAAGTTATATACAATAATTCATTCACTACAGAAAACAAACATGCCCTTATAATTAATTATCACCTATGTAATAATATAGCGAACTATTTTGGAGGCATTGAACATCTTAAAAAGTACTATAGATGATTACACTAAAACCATCGAATAAACAAATCGTTTTATGATCAAAGAGCAACGGCATTGTTGGAGTTGAAAGCTAACCTGCGGAGCCAATTGAGAAAAGATTCCCACATCCCCATTGCTTCTCTTTTCTGATAAAAAAAAAACTACACAAACAAAAACACAGATCTACGATTCTCTTGTTTCACCACGAACCCACACACAGATCTAAAAACACTTCGCAATCCGAATTCACCCTTCGCCACTGTTCATCGCATTCATATCATAGAAACGAGTTTTTTTTTTTCAATTTTCAATTTTTACTTTTATATGTTTGAAATTCCTCTTCGCTTTTGGGATTCTGATTCAACGCTTCGGGAATTTACGCAGATCATAGCCGTTGAATCAGGCGGGTCCCACACAGAAGAGACAAAATGCAGCAGATCAAGAATGGTGGCGATGCACGAGATTAAAGCTCGATAAAGATTTTTTCATTTTAGCTTGTTACATTGAAATATCTGAAGTGCACTCCATCATAACCAATTGAATTTGAAGGTAGGTTGACACGTGTAAGTTCAACAATGTTTATTTTATGTCTCTGGCTCATTATTGTACATCATATGACCAAATAGGCGCTTACAACTGTCGTAGATAGCTAACGTTAGATTTGTAATGATGTGAAAATTAAAAAAGCATTTATAAACGCCAATGGAGTGGTACAGCTGGTAAGGGAATTGTGCTGAATGAGCGAACTGTTAGGGTTGAAAATTTTCTAATTTGAATGTTAGGCAAAATAACTTTAGGGCGTGTTTGTTTCAGGATTTTGTTAAATAATCATGGAGAAGTGTTGCCTGCATTCTGATTAATCCACGTTTGGTTCTTCGATTTTACATTTTTTATCTAGACGTGATTTGTTGAAAATTTACTGTTACAGAATGCTCTTTGAACTGTGGTATTATTTATAAAAATCCGATAAGTTGCAAAATTCAGTGTTACATGATTTGTTGAAAATTCACTATTATCATTTGGACAAGTATTGGTATAAAGGGCAATGTTTAATAAAAGGATAGTTTCGTAAATTCAGAATAGTTTCTCATCAATATTTTATATTCAACCAAACATACTCTTCACTAAATTCACTTAATTTTCTTGGTAAAATTTTACTCAACCAAACAACTTTTTTTACATTTTCCTACCAAACTCAGTTTCCAACCATTTTCCTATCAATTACATTTTTCTATTATTCAAAAAATTTCTCCTCAACCAAACACCCCTCGGTTCAATCATAAACAAATATTTACTCTCTATGGCTCTCTATGGCACTAAAAAAGGGATTAATATTAGGAGTGTTCATCAACTGATCAAAATCGATTCAAACCAGGTTACTGAACCGAAAAATCGATAACCGAATGAACTGAAAATCAATAATCGAATAAACTGAAAATCGAAAAATTGAAAACAAAAAAAAACTGAAAATTTTAATTAGATTGGACCGGTTTTTGAATTGGTTGATGAAAACTAATCAATCCAAACCGATCCAATATAGTAATTCCTCTCTACCTACTTGGGTCTTTCCACAATCATAGTCCAACAATTTCTAAACCCAAGACTCATTAACCCATCAACTGAATTTAAGAAAAAACTTAGTCACATCTTATTAACAAAATTTCATCTATGTAGAGCTACATATCTCATTGCCAAAAAAAAAATTATATTATCGTTTACTGATTCTTTTGTATTTCAAAAAAAAAAAAATACAAAGCAAATATATACAAAAGATGTTATTTGCACAATAATCAGGAAACAAATTTTAGAATTTTCAAAAAACCGAAAACCGATCTAATTCAAACCGAAAAAAGTTGGATTGGATCGGATCGAATCGAATTTGAAAAAAAATTCAAACCAAATGAATGATTATATGATCAAACAGAAAGAATTAGATCGGATAATTTTTGTTTTCAAAACTGATCCAATCTGGACCGCGAATATCCTTAATTAATATCAAGCAAATGGATGGATTAGTATATATAAAATGGATTAGTATATATAAAAGAGGCTCTATGAAGCTTTTTCTTTAAGCCCAATTTTGCATAAACCCTCCTTTTCTCATATTGGAGTTAAAAAAATTCTTTAGTAAATAATTTTTTAGGTTCTTAGCAAAAAATATAGAATCTATTTTAATTCTTTAGAAACAAATATCTATATTAGTTTTTTTTTTTAGAAACTAATATGGGCTTTCTTTAAATTATAAAGGGACCATAATTTTAAATAATTACAATTTCAAAGGAACTATAAATTATTTTTTTCACTTTACGAGATTAAAATAAATTTCGTAATTTTTATTGAGATATTTACTCAATTTCTTCGTTGCTATCGTTAGGTTACTTGTTCACTTTTTTATTCAGGTATACAGTGGATCAATGACAGCAAAGCAAAATCATATTCTAATATATTTATATTTGATGCAAAATTAATTTCTATATAAGATGTGAAAAATATAAGAATATTAATATTTTTTGAAAAAAAAAAAACTATCATCTGTACTCGCCCAATTCTATTAGTCAATTTTCAAAACTTTAGGTTGGGTTATGAATGGGTAAGACTCGAGTTTGAATACTTTTTTTTTATAGTAATAATCGAGTTTAAATACTTGAAATGGTAAAAATAGTATAATTAGAAGAGCCGATCCACAACGGTAGAGTTGAATTTTTTTTTTTTTATTTTGTAATAATATAGTTGAAATTTTTGTTAAGGGGACAAAATTATAATGTATATTTATTTTTTTTAAGTTGCAGTCATGTACATGATAAAAAAAATAAAAAAATAAAAAAATAAAAATAAAGTGATACTCACAACTAACGGCTTCTATAAGTTTTGAGGGAATTAATAACTAATTATATGATTAAAATCAGAAATTATACTCACATATAAATATTTATATAAACTTGAAGGGAGATGATTACCTCTGCTAGTTGCTCCCTTGTTCTATTATTGTTGCCTAAGTATGATTTAGGGGTGATAAATGAGTCAGAGGCTTTCAGGAGCTTTTGGCTCGGCTCGTGAAGGCTCAGGCTTACCTGCCTAATATTGGTTGTTGGAACCAGGCTTGGACTTGTATAAAAGCTCGTTTAGTAAAAAGGCCTCAGGCTCCAATTCAAAAGCTCGGTCTTGGAGCCTCTTAGGCTGGCCTAGTATATTAATTTTTATTTTTATTTATATTTTTTATACTATTTGTAATAGCCATCTCTCTCTTCTCAATCCATTTACCCCTATTTTATTAGTTAAACAGACTTTTTGAATGATTTTGTTCTATATTATGTTGTTTCGATATATATTGAATTTATGAATATTTATGGAATTACTAGTGTTGTTGATTGTATATTCTGTTTGGATAAATTTTTATTGTCTTATTTTTTTCTAAGAGGCTAACAGGCCAAAGCAGGCTTTTATTTTTTGTAAATAAGGCAGGCCACAAACCGATAATTATATTCGTAACAGGTAACATGCTTGGTAAGGCTGACACATTTAATCACAGGCTTAGCCTTTTAAGACCAAAGCTCGGCTCGGCTCGGCCCGTTAACACCCCTTATGATTCATAATTTAGATTCAAATAACGACTTTTCTTGGACGCAAGCAGAGAAAACTGTTATCAAAATGATGTTAAAATCATTGAGAGGGGATAATCTGTGTTTGAAAAATCACTTTGACAATATTTACAGTTTTATGAAATACACATCAAAAATTGAAATATGTAGTAACACAAAGTTAAAGCGTATCGTACGAAAATATATGAATGCATCAAGGAAAAATCAAGCCCAGTGTTCGACATCGTATACGTAAGACAATTTTGTCTTCTCTATAGTGCCCAAGATTCATGGATAAATGTTTCTCGGGATAGAACAAATTATTTCTATTCTTGTGGCGACACTTCCATATTGAATAGCCCTATTGAACTCAACCTATGTCTGACCAATCGCACTAGAGTAATTGAATGCAAATGCAAATGCAAAGAAAAACTCTATTTAAAATTCTGATTGTCTATCTATTTATAGAAAACATAGGGTCATGATTGAAAAGATACACATTCAAGGATGAAACAATATGTCCGTTAGGATGAAGCAACACATTCGTTCGGCGATGAAACGAAACATCTTTTTAAATCAAACTTCTTATTCATAAAAATAATTAATTTAAAAATTAATTTCAACAATCCCCCACATGAATAAGAAGTCCAACTATCGAGACTATATATGGATGTAAGACTCAAATGCAATGTGTGATTGATCACTGAGGAATAACTGCATCGGGCCGGTGGACACTGTAGATACAAGGTATGTTTTGATGATAACAAAGTGACAACAACAAAAAAAGCAAGATCATTTGATCAAGAGCAAAAAGCATCAACCATATGTGGATATTGAAGATGTATGATGTAGCCACACAAGAAGAGTGATGTCATATCAAAGTGGCAAGATCATTGGATCAAGAGCAACAAGGAATATTTAGAAGAGCAATAACAAGATCAAAGACAACTAACCATGGACAACATCTAAGAGAAACTCAATATCATAACCATGGTGAAAAATGATCAAAACCAACAAAGTGTCAAACATTGTCATATCCAACAAGTCAAAGCATCAAGCTCAAGTGAAGATCCAAGACACAAGACATGAAGCTAAGTCTAAAATCATATTTGGAATATATCTTTAGGACTTAGAATATATGTGAGGGTATATGTAGATTGCATTGCATGAGCTCAAAGTTTTTCTCAAAGTAAACGTGTTTTTCGAATTGCATGATCATAGCCTTTATATACTTGAAAGAAAATTGAAAAACTCATGAAAAAGATCATTGACATATTTTATAACTTCAAAACATATTTACCAAGTCAAGATCTTTCATGAAAAGTGGTTGGAAGCAAGTTAGAACACATTTGAACATAGAATTTGCTGGATAATTTTGCTGCTTCGTTCCATACAATTTTTCGTATCAAAGATGATGGATTTAGATCTTGTGTTATTCATAAAAGTTGTAGATCTTTCTTTTATCTTTCCAACAAGACCAAGATCACCTCAAGTTATGTGTAAAATACGAAATAATGTTATTGTTGTCGTATTTCCAACCTTTCCAACAGGTTGGGAATCGATTCCTTACTCTCTGGAAATGTTGGGAATCGATTCCCACTCATTGGGAATCGATTCCCCCTACGACAGAAAGCCTATAACGGCTATAAACGACTAGTTTTGCTAAAAATCACTATAAATACATTCCTTATGACCCA